CTAGTATTTGCTGTTTCATTGGTGTCACATTGAAAACTAACCCCCTGGTCTCCGGAGAGTGCCAGTGTAGAACCTCCTCCTGGCCTCCCTCATTAAAGAGTGTTTCATTGTGTGCTTTGTTCCCAAGTAGGCTACATTTCCTTCTATCATATATTAGAAAGCCTGAAAATATCTGGGCAGCCAGAAAAAGGGACTCTTCGATTTGTAGAATGGTAATCATTTCTGGCTACTAAGCACTTCTCAGACAATGTGGTTGAGGCCCCATTGAGCAATTTGGCCAGAGAACCAGTATCTTTAGATTGTCATAGATGAGATAGGTAGCTGTTGACTATGACTCTCTTTCATCTAACTTTTTGTTGAAGTATAATAAGTATACGGAAATGTGTATATGACTCTGATAAGTTCATTTCATTTTACTTCTGCTGAAGAATCCATTAAATGAACTTATCACTTTTATTTATTTATAGCTCAGTGAATTTTCAAAACTTTTGCGCACGTGTTGAACCAGCGCTCAGTCAAGAAACAGAACATGGCCATGTTTGTGTTCCCTTGCAATCACTAATCACCTGGATTTGATAATAGCATGATCATATTGAAAGAAAACTTAATTCTCTAAACGTGGGTGTCACTGTGTGTTCATCTTAATTCACACGTGTGAATCTGAAGTTGGCCTTGTAATCTTGATTCTGACTTTCAGTAGGCCCAGATTAGTTTTGTATATTTCATACAAGTGAAAAGGATATTATATATAGTCTTTTGTGTCTGGCTTCTCTCATTCATCCTTAAGGTTGTGAAGTCACCTTTATTCTGGGGAATGGGGAATTACTCGTTCTTTTCAGCATATAGTGTTCATCATGTTCCTTTGGTTCATTTTAATAGATCATTCATTACCAGTGATCCATGTCTGTCTGGTGTGGGCATTCCTGTTTTATCTCTGTTTCAAATACACCTAAAGTTAAAGAGTAAAGGGTTCCCTCGTGCCATATGTGGGTTGAGCTTTGGGCTGCTAACGACAGGGTTAACTATTCAAAGCTACTAAGTGCTCGCCCGAGGGAGAGATGAGACTGTCTACACCATACAGCTTGTAGTCTTTAAAACCCTATAGTGTACTTTTCAACCTAGAAGAAGTTTAAGTTCTGGTTAGAGGTCACAGTCTTGGTCTTTGTGAACTTTGAATTAAGATTATCTTTTGTTTTCCTAAACCATATTGTAAATGGGGAAATCAGATCACATTTAGACTGAAAATCTGTTACCAATTTACCACTTTCACATTGGTGGTCAGAAGGAAGCGTAATTTCTCTGAACTTAGTTGTCTCCATGAGTTCATCTTCCTTCACACAGTATAGGAGCTTGGCAATGGAAAGGAGTAAGAAAACTCTTGAGGACATGTCCTTCTAAAGCTGGGGCTTTCAGAATCTTCAGTAGAAAATGGGAGGCACTCAAATTTCAACTTGATAGGAAAGAACGTCAATTGTGTGCCAAATGGCCTCCCCCGCCCCCCACTGAGGAATTAGAACTCGGTACTTTAGAAAGGTCTTGAACCCCTCATGTAGAGTTGAGGGAATATGTCAGGACCTCAAGTAGAGCAAATCTGAAATTGAACTTGATCTTTAGTAAGGTGTTGAGAGTAGGAGTTAGGAATCTATGAAGCCCCTCCCCAGAAGAATGCACTATAGAGCTCAGCACTGACGATACACCCCTGGGAAGTGGCAGGTCTGCCCAGACCACACGGGAGCAGATTAAGAAGCAGAGAGAGAGAACAAACCACGTCCCGCCCACCAAGCCTCTAGGATGACGTTACTTCCCTGAGCAGCCAATGCACAGAGAGGACCTTAGGGCTGACCTGACACAACATCCCCTCCCTGACCCACAACACTACAGGGGATAGCACCAGAGATACCATGCCTGAATTGTGCCTGGTCTGACCCGCCCACATTGGGGTGAAACGTAAAGGGAATGCAACAGAGCAGCAAGGGGAGCAGATCAATGAAGTTTCCAAGGAATCCCGAAAATAGACTTCTGATTCAGGGGGCAGGGCTTGGCACCTCACCAGACCCAATCAGAAAACACTAAAAAAGGCTCAGCAGACAAACCTGGAACTATATATAGGCCTTTCCCCTCCTCTTTTTTTCTATGTTTATCTATATAAGATAGGCAAGATAAACAATCCAGAGGAGCAAACAATCAGACTGACAGTCCCAGGGGGACATGGAGAGGAGGAGCAGGGGTGGGGTGGGGGAGCCAACAAACTCAGGAACAAGAGAACAACAAGAGAACTAAAATTGATGAAGAGGAGGGGATAAAATGTATGGTGCACTTTGATCAAGTGCAATGTAGTCAGGAGGAATTAGGGGGAGCTGAAAGGTCAAATGCGATAGTGGGAGACGAGGAAAGTAAAAAGAAATACAGGAAAGAATTAGGAGGTAAAAGATTTATAGAGGTATAAACAGGCATGTACATATGTAAGTATATTAATATATAACAATAGGGATATAGGTCTTTGTACATTAAGTTAAGTATTAAGGTAGCAGATGGACATTGGGCCTCTACTGAAGCCATCCCTCAACTTAAGAACTCTTTGTTCTAATAACCTGGCATTCTGTGATACTCATGCTCACTGAAGACAAAATGCATAAGCAAATGTGGTAAAGACAGCTGATGGTGCCGGCTATTAGACGATATAGCATATGGGGTTTTAAAGGCTTGAAGTTAAACAAGTGGCTGTCTAGCTGAGAAGCAACGCCCATGTGGAAGAAGCACACCAACTTGTGTGATCATGAGGTGTTGATAAGATCGGGAATTAAGCATCAGAAGAGCCAAAACAATCATATCGATGCAAATGAGGAAGGTTGGAGTGGAGACCCAAAGCCCATCTGTAGACAAGTGGACATCCCCTCGCAGAAGGGTTACAAGGAGGGAATGAGTCAGCCAGGGTACAGTATAGCACTGATGAAACACAATATTCCTCTTGTTCTTTGAGGCTTCCTCACCCACCATTATCATGACCCAGTTTTACCTTACAAAACTGGCTAGACCGGAGCATGTACATTGATACAGATAAGTGCTCTTGACACATGGAATCCAGGACAGATAAACCCCTCAGGAACAGTAATGGGAGTAACGAAACCATGAGGGTAGGGAGAAGGGGGAGAAAGGGGGAACTGATTGCGATGATCAATGTGTCACACCCACACACCACACCCCCCAGGGGCACGAAAAATAGAAATGTGGGTGAAGGGAGACAGCGGATGGTGTAAGATATAAAAATAATAATTTATAATTTATCAAGGCTTCATGAGGGAGAGAAGGTGGGGGAGGGAAGGAAAAGGAGGAGCTGATACCAAGGGCTCAAGAGAAAGCAAATGTTTAGAGAATGATGAAGGCAACAAATGTGCTTGACACACAGTGGATGTATGTATGGATTGTGATAAGAGTTGTATGAGCCCCCAATAAAATGATTAAAAAAAAAATACTATGCAGCACAAGCTGGCTAAATTCTGAATCTGAGATCGCCACCTAGTGGCTTTTCCTAGATACCTAATCTAGTCAAACAATGGCCAATCCATCAGCCATTTAAAAATATAAGAAAAAAACAATAAGTAACCTCATCAAAAATATATTGTGTCATAGTTCTGTCTTTGCCAGCACTGAAAGACAAGAGCCCCTTTAGTCGTGTAAGCAGGACCAATAGTAAAAGTTATTAATGTTAAAATTGTTGGGTACTTTTCATTCGTTTTTCAGACACCAGTCATTGGAATTCCATCTTCCATCCCCTAAATTGCAAGACCTTTATTAGAAAGGTAGCAGGTTTGTAATGTGCATTTTTCACCCCAATTCAGTTGGTTTTTAAAATGTTAGACGAGAGCTCAGAGTGGTTTACTAGGTATAGCATTTGAAGTTTATAAAAATAGCGTTGCATCCTTTTTTTACCAGTCTAGATAAAATTCATGAGATTTTACATCGCAAATTTAATACTTCAGCCAAGAATAGTAACTTTCTTTTTGCAAGTAACTTGGAAAGTTCCAAACAGTCTTTCTCAGTGCCTCTGTTCAAGTAATTGTGGAACACTTAGGGAATTTTTTTTAAGGATCATTTATTGGGGACTCTAACAGCTCTTATAACAATCCATACTTCAATTTTATTAAGCATATTTGTACATATGTTGTCATCATTTTATAAACATTTACTTTCTATTTGAGCCTTTGGTATCAACTCTTCTTTTTCCCCTTCCTCCCCCCTCTCATCTTCTTGATCCCTTGATTATTATTTATTTTCATATCTTACACTGCTGTCTCCCTCCCCCCACCGTTTTTGCTGTTCGTCCCATTTCTGTTCCTGAGGGGTTTATCTAACCTGGATTCTGTGTGTCGTGAGCTCTTAACTGTACCAGTATACATGCTCCAGTCTAGCCAGAACTGAAATGCAGGACTGGAGTCATGATGGTGAGGGTCAGGAAGCCTCAAAGAACCCGAGGAATATTATTGTGGGCTTCATCGGCGCTGTGTTTGACTCATCCCTTCCAGTGACCCTTCTGTGAGTGGATATTCCCATTGTCTGCAGATGGGTTTGGGGTCTCTGCTCCGACATCCCTTGTTCTCAGCAATATGGTCTTTGGTTTGTTTGGGGTGTTCTAATGCTTGGTACCTGAACCCTTACACATCTCATGATTGCACAGGCTGGTGGAGCACTTAGGGAATTGAAAATTAAAACTAAGTGTGAATGGTGCACATGTGGATTCATTTTGTCTTTTAAGTGCTCATAATCCCAGATACCTCACAGGGCTTTTAAGTATAATTTTTATAGGCCACTTTAAGTTCCCTAGGAAAAACTATAGTTTTTAAATGTTACTAGTTTTCACTATGCTATCCTATTTATCCTACTTGTGTTCAAACGTATTTGACAAATTATGTGTATCAGTTGAACCTCTGTAACAACTAGAAAACTTTAAATCCACATTTTTTGCTTTTTTATTAAATGCTTCTTCATTTCCTCCCTCTCAGGTAACAAATATACTCTAGAGACTAGACCAAACCAAGAAGGCATTGATGTAAGACAAGAGCTACTACAGTTCCATTCTACTTATTATTCATCCAACTTAATGTCTATTTGTGTTTTGGGTCGAGGTAAGCATCTTTAAAATTTCATATAATTGAGTAATCTAAGTTTCCCACTTTGTTTTTTTCAACATATTTGAAGAAGATTGTAAAATACAGCCATTTGTTTGCCCATAGACTTTGAAAATAATCTATTTGTTGGAAAATGTGATGGAGATTTTGTTTTGATCTTGGGTTCCAAAAAGAAGTTTAGGTGATTTTAAATGGAAGACCAGAAAAACAAATAAATTAGTCATAGAGACTCTAAACATATAAAAAGGAAGAAAGTTGAGAATGATGAGGGCAACAAATGTACAAATGTGCTTGACATACATGGATGGATGTATGGATAGTGTTAAGAGTTGTATGAGCCCCCAATAAAAATTTTTTTTTAAGTAGAAAAGATAGATTTGGCCTTAGAATAATTGGAAAACAGGAAACAAAATGATAAACTGGAAAAGCTACTTGGAACATGAAAAAGATTTGCTTTATTAAAATTTAATTTTATTTATTTTAATTTTTTTATTAGGGGCTCATACAACTCTTATCACAATCCATACACACATCAGTTGTGTAAGGCACATTTGTACATTCATTGCCCTCATCATTCTCAAAACATT